TAACACCATGATATGAATGACATAATGACATAATCTCCCGAGTGGCGCAGTGATCTAAGGCACTGCATCGCAGTGCTAGCTGTGCCACTAGAGATCCTGGTTCGAATCCGGCGCACAATTGGCCCAGCGTCGTCCAGGGGAGGGAATGGCCGGCAGGGATGTAGCTCAGTTGGTAGAGCATGGTGTTTGCAACGGCAGGGTTGTGGGTTCGATTCCCATGGGGGGCCTGTATGCAAAAATAAGATACGAATAATGTATGCACTCACTAACTGTAAGTCGCTCTGGATAAGAGCATCTGCTAAATGACTAAAATGTAAATAATGCCTGTCACTCAATAGGAAGCAGTATCCCAAGTGTCCAGCATAAAAGTTTCATATTTCCATTTGCCCATCAAATTATTTCCATTTCATTACAGTGTTCCTGCGTGTCTTACATGGACAGCATTATGGCTGGATATCAAAGGTACTGTACAGTCTGTTACCAAACTAATTAATTATAGGGAATTATAAATGAACACTGAGGGAATCCTGTGCCTTTGACACTGAACAGAGAATTCCAACAGTTATACTAGTTCAGCCTTTAAAAAACTGTGACTGTGTCCATGGTTAGAGATCCTGTAGCTACATTATTTTACCTCGGGTTGCTTATATGTCTTATGAAAATACTGTGTTTTCCAGACAGCCAAGAGAATTAGGAAAGTAAGCCATGCTTCAAAACACTAGTTTGCTCCTGTTAGTGCTGAATTAGTGCTATTTTACAAGGCAAATGGTCCAAAAAAAATCCACTACTGCACAGATATTTAATCGCATCTTAATCAACAAAAAATCTAAATAACGACCTCCTCCTTCACTAAACATTGCCTCAAAAGACACCACTACCATTACTTCTTCTGTCCCCATCTCTTAGCTGTTATTCATGAGCTTAGAGAAAACATCTCTGTCCTCCAAGCAGCCCTGCCTGTAGGCTACTGGAGACCACTAAAAGTCTTCCATGCTTAAAATATAACCTGTGGTTCCTGGGGGCTACACTACAGCGCGTTAGGGTCCCCTGATGAGTGGGGGACATCAGGAGCAAGCTGTGATTTCATTATCTCACCGGCCTCTCCGGATACAGTCCAATTACCTCCTTGTGAACAAATGACCGTGTAATTAAAGTTAAACAAATGGGCCATGTCATCGCAGCGTAATACTGTCTGGCAGCACCACATCCCCAACCACCTGCTAGTTAAGGGACATTGAGGACGCGTAATATCCTCCTTGACCCTCAAGCGACAGGGCGGATGATAAGCTAATGCTATCTGCGCTAACTTGAGCAGGTAGCAATGTAGCCAGCGGGAACTGAAAGCAGTCTAGCTGAAAGGTAAAGGATATGGTCTGGTACAGGTTGCGGTTATTGGTTCTGATGTACTGGTAACTGCTTATGCCGCTGCATATACAGTGCCTTCGGAAAGTATTCAGACCCCTTGACTTTTTCCACATTTTGTTAGGTTACAGCCTTATTCTAAAATTGATTACATTATTTCCCCCCCTCATCAATCTACACACAATACCCCATAATGACAAAGCAAAAACAGGTTTTTAGAAATGTTTGCTAATTTATTAAAAAATAAAAAACTGAAATATCACATTTACATAAGTATTCAGATCCTTTACTCAGTACTTTGTTGAAGCGCCTTTGGCAGCGATTACAGCCTCAAGTCTTTTTGGGTATGACGCTACAAGTTTGGCACACCTGTACTTGGGGAGTTTCTCCCATTCTTCTCTGCAGAGCCTCTCAAGCTCTGTCAGGTTGGATGGGGAGCGTCGCTGCACAGCTATTTTCAGGTCTCTCCAGAGATCTGGTTCAAGTCCGGGCTCTGGCTGGGCCACTCAAGAACATTCAGAGACTTGTCCCGAAGCTACACCTGCGTTGTCTTGGCTGAGTGCTTAGGGTCGTTGTCCTGTTGGAAGGTGAACCTTCGCCCCAGTCTGAGGTTCTAAGCACTCTGGAGCAGGTTTTCATCAAGGATCTCTCTGTATTTTGCTCTGTTCATTTTTGCCTCGATCCTGACTAGTCTCCCAGTCCCTGCCAATGAAAAACATCCCCACAGCATGAGGCTGTCACCACCATGCTTCACCGTAGGGATGGTGCCAGGTTTCCTCCAGACGTGGCGCTTGGCATTCAGGCCAAAGAGTTCAATCTTGGTTTCATCAGACCAGAGAATCTTGTTTCTTATGGTCTGAGAGTCTTTAGGTGCCTTTTGGCAAACTCCAAGCGGGCTGTCATGTGCCTTTTAATGAGTAGTGGCATCCGTCTGACCACTCTACCATAAAGGCCTGATTGGTGGAGTGCTGCAGAGATGGTTGTCCTTCTGGAAGGTTCTCCCATCTCCACAGAGGAACTCTAGAGCTCTGTCAGAGTGACCATCGGGTTCTTGGTCACCTCCCTGACCAAGGCCCTTCTCCCCCGATTGCTCAGTTTGGCCGGGCGGCCAGCTCTAGGAAGAGTCTTGGTGGTTGCAAACTTCTTCCATTTAAGAATGATGGAGGCTAATGTGTTCTTGGGGACCTTCAAGGCAGCAGACATTTTTCTGCACCCTTCCCCAGATCTGTGCCTCGACACAATCCTGTCTTGGAGCTCTACGGACAGTTCCTTCGACCTCTTGGCTTGGTTTTTGCTCTGACATGCATTGTCAACTGTGGGACCTTATATAGATATTTTTTTGCAAACATTTCTGAAAACCTGTTTTCGCTTTGCTATTATGGGGTATTGTGTGTAGATTGCTGAGGATTTGTATTTATTTCATCCATTTTAGAATAAGGCTGTAACGTAACAAAATGTGGAAAGTCAAGGGGTCTGAATACTTTCCGAAGGCACTGTAGAATGAAAACATAACTGGAAATAAATTAAAAGAGGTTAAGTAATGCCTATGATAATGTTATGGCAGTGTAATATACCACACGACACACGCCCATACCCATATAGTCATCTAGAGCCAAAAGGGGCTGAAAATCAATGTGGCATACATAAACTATGCCATTTTATCCCTTCACTGACTGACACCAATTACCTTTCGCTCAAAAATGTGTCAATCAACACTGAGCCTCGGTCCCAAACCCCGGCCACTGCACAACATAAGCGCTGCCATGGCGACGCATGAGTCATCCGGCCTTAATTACCTGTATGTGTCCCTTATGACACCACCGTCACCGCCGGAAGCGCCGACTCTGCCGAGCATGGCCCCAGCAGTTTCAATTAGGGCATAAATATTGGGGTCTAATATCCTTCCTGGGCCCAGTTCAGAGAGGGTAGGCGTGGAGCTAAGTGCTAGGTTGTGTGGGACTTTGGCTTCTGCCACACCTGTATGCCCTCTGGTATCCCTGCACACCCAGGCATGCAGGGAGCTATAGTGGGTTTACTTAGCAAGGCTGGAGCCATCCAAGAATGGGCCCCATGATAACATAGCAATGGTATTCTGCAAGTGTGGGCAAGGAGCTAGCTGCCTGTGTCAACTGTCTACATGCAATGGAGAGAGAAAGGGAGAGTGGAGAGAGAGAGGGAGGGAGAGAGAGAGGGAGGGAGGAAGAGAAAATGGAGAGAAACAGTGAGGAGGAAGAAATGAGAGCTTGAGAGGGAAAGAAAGAGGTGGAAAAAGAGAGAGAAAGAGAGAAGAAGCTAGAGAGTGAGGGAGAAAGCAAAGCAGCATCATTATAGCTGAGTTAGTTTCCCCCTTCTGTCTTTTACTCATAGGCAATTCCAGCATTTTAAGAGCCTGCAGGTGATCCATCGCAGACCTCAAAGCACCACAGGGATCCTTACACCACACCCCATAACTGCAAAGCCTTCCCTCCTCAAACACTTTTTGACACCTCGGCCAAATCATAGCTCTTTATGCCAGAAGCACAGACGATCCAAGTCACCATGAGACACACACACCACAGGAGTTTCATAAACACTGTTACTATCTTTGTCTGAAAACAAACTCCTAAATCTCCCACTAATAGCCTGTTTCAGCCCACCGACAGCTCTTACAATATCCCTGTTTTTTTTTTATATTGATGCTGGATACAGACAAGGAGGAATAATGTGGCAGACACTTTGAGATCAATCCTGTGCAAATAATCAATATTTAGTCCCTTAGGTCTCTTTTATCTGTTTGAACTCAACTGGAAGGGCATGTTAAAATACCTCTGCAACTATTGCATACATAACCTTTACCCTGACAGATGTTATTTCAGTTGGGGCTGAATCCTCCTATACAGTATTAGCCCTGAGACATAGCTGTAGATTCCTATGACATTACAGCTTTGTATCAGTGCCATGATGACTGGTTGTAAACTTTGTCATTCCTGTTTTTTTATAAATTCTCATTTATCATAACAGATTTATAACAACTTCATGCTCATTTTAAAAGGAAAACAGTTTAGGCTTACCTTGGTTTTGCAGAACACAGCAATCACTAGTAGATCATTGCTCCAAAATGCTTCAATGTCCAGTGCTTTTGGTTTAATCAGATCCACTCAGGCTCTTTCTGATTCAGGACCACAAGACAGTGCCTGTGGTGCCTCTGGTGTCTTGAAGTCCAATTACAAGTTTTGTATACTGGGATCCAATGTAGACTTACTTTTAACTGACCATTTTCCAGCCCTGGACTTTCCTTCAAAGTCCACTTGAAATGAAGCACATTGCAGTTCTTGCTCCAAGGAGTGAGCGAGAATGAGGATCACATTCAAGGCCTTTCTTCTTCAGAAAAGTTCAAACAAAAACATCACAAGGGCAATGTTTTCTAATTGTCGCATCCACTCCCAATTAAAAATGTACAGCAGTCCACTCCACCACCAGGTATAGCCTCAGCACCAACCAAGAGGCCTTTGGAGCTTCAACTTACCTGTGTGTCATCAAGCTAATCTTCTCTATGTTGAAATCTTGGTTGAAATCCAGGTTTGTGTTGCGATTTGAAGACTGAGCCATGGCAATTTCCAGATTTCAGAGGTTGGTCACTCATACATTGCATACTTACCTTCAGATATCTCATTGTTCTCCTCGGTGACACTGGTGTCTTTCTGGTTCTTGGGTCGTACATTCTGGGGCTGTACGTTCTTATTGTCAGGCTCTGAAAGTTGGGCTGAAACAAACCAAACACATTTCCATTGACACATTATACTGTAGAATACATTTTGTCAAATATGTTGGAACAATGGCAATCACACAGACCAGCTATTTCCTTTGAATAAACCTCCTGAAATCGTAGAATAATTTGTAAAAGGTATAAGGCTCTTCTCACCCTCAAATGTTCCTAGAAGTGGCTTGCTCTCCTGAGCACCTTTCACAGCAGTGACCTTGACTGTGTATAACTTGCTGGGGTCAAAGTCTATGATCACTTTGGCTTCCTTCTTTGACACATCTAGTTCAGTCTCCTCTGCATCTGTAATTGGGAGAAAGTAACAAAGAAGACCAAACTTTGTCAATATTCAAGAAATTGTTTTCACTTGTGTTCTGATTGTTTATTAAATGCATTCTATTAAAAATGAGTTACCATAATAGAAATATACTTTTTGGATATTTTGACTATTTTGAAATCTCCTTTTCAGGTGGAATGTCAGGAATGACATTTGATGTTGCAATGCAGGATACTACTGGATACGGGGGGGTATATCGGCAGTAAATGAACTGGGCAGTGGCTCAGCGGCTGCTGCAGGACAAGTAAAGAGAGGCCTCAGTGTTCCAACACACCTGAATTATTTTAAGCAGTACCCACAGGACATGGAGACACTCAGTTGGGACTCAAATAAAAAGGAGAGAATTCACTCACTGTGTAGCCTACTGATTCTAAATCAATTTCTATAAATCGAGACTGGCAGATGAGAACTTAAGGGAATGTAGCTAAAATGCACTATTTATGCATTGACCTTAGGTTTCATCATTCTTGTTTTGCATATCAGAACAGAACTACGGAATTACAATTATCCTGACATTTCACACTCGTCTTTAACTGTGTTCACTGACACGTACAGTTCCTCCTTTATTACTATTTTGATATATCTGCTAAGCATGGCCTGAAGGCAACATGTTGCAAATGGAAGTGTGTAGGCATGTTGTAGAAATGGGGGTGTCAAGTCTTGTCAGGTCTTGCTTAAAGATGATAAAAAAATATATTTTGTGAGGGATGCGCCCATCATAGGTAATTCATAGGTATTATGGAGGCCTTATCTGACACAACTAGACCTTAGATGCACCCCTATGAATGATTCAAACAATCTTGACCAATACTTCCGAATGTATAGCAGCATACTTGAAAAGCACTGATATTTTACTATCTTTTCAGCAAAATGTCTGTGTTCATACAACACACTCTGTATATATTTACATTTTAGTCATTTAGCAGACGCTCTTATCCAGAACGACTTACAGTTAGTGCATTCATCTTTAGATAGCTAGGTGGGACAACCACATATCACAGGCATACAAAATTAAATTTTCCTCAATAACGTAGCTATCAGCAGAGTCAGAGCTGGGGGGGGCTGTTTTTATGTCCTGCCAATGAAGGCTGTTTTTATGTCCTGCCCAATGAAGGCTGTTTTTATGTCCTGCCCAATGCATTCGCCAAATAGTCAAATAGAAGGTTAGGAGGATTATTTAAGATACTGTTTGAAGAGGTAGGGTTTCAGTTGTTTTCGGAAGATGGGCAGGGACTCTGCTGTCCTAGCGTCAGGGGGAAGCTGGTTCCACCATTGGGGTGCCAGGACAGAGAAGAGCTTGGACTGGGCTGAGCGGGAGCTGCCCTCCCGTAGGGGTGGGAGGGCCAAGAGACCTGATGTGGCAGAACGGAATGCTCGGGTTGGGGTGTAGGGTTTGAGCATAGCCTGAAGGTAGGGAGGGGCATTTCCTCTTGGTCTTGTAGTGGATGCGAGCTTCGACTGGAAGCCAATGGAGTGTGCGGAGGAGCAGGGTGACATTTATTTTATTAATTTTTATTTAACCTTTATTTAACCAGGTAAGCCAGTTGAGAACAAGTTCTCATTTACAACTGCGACCTGGCCAAGATAAAGCAAAGCAGTGCGATAAAAACAACAACACAGAGTTATATATGGGGTAAACAAAACATAAAGTCAAAAATACAACAGAAAATATATATACAGTGTGTGCGAATGTAGTAAATTATGGAGGTAAGGCAATAAATAAATAGGCCATAGTGCAAAATAGTTACAATTTCGTATTAACACTGGAATGATAGATGTGCAAAAGATGATGTGCAAATAGAGATACTGGGGTGCAAATTAGCAAAATAAATAACAATATGGGGATGAGGTAGTTGGATGGGCTAATTACAGATGGGCTGGGTACAGGTGCAGTGATCGGTAAGCTGCTCTGACAACTGACGCCTAAAGTTAGTGAGGGAGATAAGAGTCTCCAGCTTCAGAGATTTTTGCATTTCGTTCCAGTCATTGGCAGCAGAGAACTGGAAGGAATGGCGGCCAAAGGAGGTGTTGGCTTTGGGGATGACCAGTGAAATATACCTGCTGGAGCGCAGACTACGTGTGGGTGTTGCTATGGTGACCAGTGAGCTAAGATAAGTCAGGGATTTGCCTAGCAGTGATTTATAGATGACCTGGAGCCAGTGGGTTTTGCGACGAATATGTAATGAGGGCCAGCCAACAAGAGCGTACAGGTCACAATGGTGGGTAGTATATGGGGCTTTGGTGACAAAACGGATGGCACTGTGATAGACTACATCCAATTTGCTGAGTAGAGTGTTGGAGGCTATTTTGTAAATGACATCGCCGAAGTCAGGGATCGGTAGGATAGTCAGTTTTACGAGGGCATGTTTGGTAGCATGAGTGAAGGAGGCTTTGTTGCGAAATAGGAAGCCGATTCTAGATCTAACTTTTGATTGGAGATCAACTAAATGTGAGTCTGGAAGGAGAGTTTACAGTCTAACCAGACACCTAGGTATTTGCACAGGCAAGTTGCAGCGGAGGGTGCAGAGCTGGTGGCCCGGGTAGTGGTAGCCAGGTGGAAAGCATGGCCAGCCGTAGCAAAATGCTTATTGAAATTCTCGATTATTGTAGATTTAGTGTTTCCTAGCCTCAGTGCAGTGGGCAGTTGGGAGGGGGTGCTCTTATTCTCCATGGACTTTACAAGTGTCCCAAAACTTTTTGGAGTTAGTGCTACAGGATGCAAATTTCTGTTTGAAAAAGCTAGCCTTTGCTTTCCTAACTAATTGTGTATATTGGTTCCTGACTTCCCTGAAAAGTTGCATATCGCGGGGGCTGTTCGATGCTAATGCAGTACGCCGCAGGATGTTTTTGTGCTGGTCATGGGCAGTCAAGTCTGAGGAGAACCAGGGGCTATATCTGTTCTTAGTTCTGAATTTTTTGAATGGGGCATGCTTATTTAAGATTGAGAGGAAAGCACTTTTAAAGAACAACCAGGCATCCTCTACTGACGGAATGAGGTCAATATCCATCCAGGATACCCGGGCCAGGTCAATTAGAAAGGCCTACTCACTAAAGTGTTTTAGGGAGCGTTTGACAGTGATGAGGGGTGGTCGTTTGACCGCGGACCCATTACGGATGCAGGCAATAAGGCAGTGATCGCTGAGATCCTGGTTGAAGACAGCGGAGGTGTATTTAGAGGGTAAATTTGTCAGGATGATATCTATGAGGGTGCCCATGTTTACAGATTTTGGGTTGTACCTGGTAGGTTCGTTGATCATTTGTGTGAGATTGAGGGCATCTAGTTTAGATTATAGGTTGGCCGGGGTGTTAAGCATATCCCAGTTTAGGTCACCAAGCAGTACGAACTCTGAGGATAGATGGGGACAATCAATTCACATATGGTGTTCAGGGCACAGCTGGGGGCTGAGGGGGGTCTGTAGCAAGCGGCAACAGTGAGAGACTTATTTCTGGAAAGGTGGATTTTTTGAAGTAGAAGCTCAAACTGTTTGGGCACAGACCTGGATAGTATGATAGAGCTCTGCAGGCTATCTCTACAGTAGATTGCAACCCCACCCCCTTTGGCAGTTCTATCGAGACAGAAAATGTAGTATTTTTTTTTTTTTTTTTTTTTGGTGGCCTTCCTAAGCCAGGATTCAAACACTGCTAGAACATCAGGCGGAGTGTGCTAACGCAGTGAATAACTCAAACTTAGGAAGGAGGCTTCGGATGTTAACGTGCAAGAAACCAAGGCTTTTACGGTTACAGAAGTCAACAAATGATAACGCCTGGGGAGTAGGAGTGATACTGGGGGCTACAGGGCCTGGGTTAACCTCTACATCACCAGAGGAACAGAGGAGGAGTAGAATAAGGATACGGCTAAAGGCTTTAAGAACTGGTCTTCTAGTGCGTTGGGTACAGAGAAAAAAAGGGGCAGATTTCCGGGCGTTGTAGAATAGATTCAGGGCATTATGTACAGACAAGGATATGGAAGGATATGAGTACAGTGGAGGTAAACCTAAGCGTTGGGTAACGATGAAGGAGATAGCATCACTGGAGGCACCGATTGAGTCGGGGGTGGGACAAAGGAGCTGTCTAAGGCAGGTTGAGCTGGGCTGGGGGCTCTACAGTGAAATAGTACAATAAGAAATAACCGAAACAGCAATAAGCAAGGCATATTGACATGGGAGAGAGGCATAAAGCAATCACAGGTGTTATTCGAGAGAGCTAAGACAACAGCTGGTAATGGCGACAAGGTTTGGGCTGAGGCTAAACATAAACCGTACCGTATAAAGGAACAGTCCAGCAGGCATCAGCTGTTTAGCTGAGTTATCATAAGGTCCGGTCAACAGCAATAGGAGAGTTCGGAGGTAGTTCGGGGGCTGCTACAGCACTGGCGAGCAAGAGGCCTGGCTTGCGTGTGTTAGCGGGCCGGGGCTAGCAGATAGATCTTCGTGGTCGACGTCGTAACGGGAAGCCTGTTGAAACCACATCAGACGATTTCATCGGCAAACCAGTCGTGTTGGATCAGCGGGGCTCCGTGTCAACACTAGGAGGTCCCGTCCGGTTGACAGAGAGGTAGATAGCCGGGAGATGGGCCTGGCTCGAGGCTAGCTCAAGGCTAACTGGTGCTTGCTAAGGGGCAATGGTAATTAGCCAACGACAACAGCCATTTGGTTGCAGCTAGCTGGTTGCGATGATCCGGCGCTAGGGTCCAGTGATTCCGGCAGAAAATCCGATATGCTCTGGGTCGATAGCACGCTGTGCAGACTGGCCGACAAATTGTCCAGGCTAGAGCTAGAGCTGGCTGGTGGGTAGTGCAGGCCACGGACAATGGTGAAGACGCTAACGGTGGCTAATAGCAAGTAGCCATTCGGTTGCAGCTAGACTAGTTTCAGCTTAAGGTTCTTGATAAAACTTATAAAGAAATAATATAATCCTTTCCACGTTGGGTGAGGCGGGTTGCAGGAAAGTATATTTAGTTAAAGAATGAAAAGTAAAATTGAGAAATATAGACAAAAAACTAAAAAACTGGCTATTTACACAAGGACACAGAAAAAAACACAACCGCACTGCTTTGCCATCTTGGATTCCCATGCGAGAACTTGGGAAGGTTGAAAACCAGGCGGGCTGCTGCGTTCTGGATAAGTTGCATGGGTTTGATGGCACAAGTGGGGAGCCCAGCCAACAGCGAGTTGCAGTAGTCCAGCTGGGATAGGACACGCTTCCTGTGTGAGGTAGAGTAGTACTCTATGGATGTTGTAGAGCATGAACCTGCAGGAGCGGGTCACTGCTTTGATGTTTGCAGAGAAGGACAGGGTGTTTTCCAGGGTCACGCCAAGGTTATTTGCACTCTGGGAGGGCGACACGGTGGAGTTGTCAACCGTGATGGAGAGTTCTTTGAGCCGGCAGGCCTTCCCCAGGAGGAAGAGCAGTTCCGTCTTGTTGAGGTTGAGCTTGAGGCAGTGGGCCGGCTCAAGCTGTCAGGAGGCCACCCTTACCCTAGGCTTACTATAACGAAAGCTGTTTCAACAGCAATGCATCGGGTGTATTTCATGCATTAGCCAAGAAGCCTATCCATAAAAGTTTTCTAAAATAATTGTCTACTTGTGAGGCTTTTGCCGTCATGCTTTTGCATTATTCACAATTCACATAGGCCTACCAGCAGTGAAAACTCCATTCGGCTTGTATCCATCCCCATTTCCAAAAAGTGCCTCTTGTCTGGTTACCAAAGACTCGCTCCACCAAACATATTAAAATGATTCAGTCCTACAGTTGGAGTTGGAGTCATTAAAACTTGTTTATCAACCACTCCACAAATTTCTTTTTAACAAACTATAGTTTTGGCAAGTCGGTTAGGACATCTACTTTGTGCATGACACAAGTAATTTTTCCAACAATTGTTTACAGACAGATTATTTCACGTATAATTCACTGTATCACAATTCCAGTGGGTCAGAAGTTTACATACACTAAGTTGACTGTGCCTTTAAACAGCTTGGAAAATTCCAGAAAATGATGTCATGGCTTTAGAAGCTTCTGATAGGCTAATTGACATCATTTGAGTCAATTGGAGGTGTACCTGTCGATGTATTTCAAGGCCTACCTTCAAACTCAGTGCCTCTTTGCTTGACATCATGGGAAAATCAAAAGAAATCAGCCAAGACCTCAGAAAAAAATTGTATACCTCCACAAGTCTGGTTCATCCTTGGGAGCAATTTCCAAACGCCTGAAGGTACCACGTTAATCTGTACAAACAATAGTACGCAAGTATAAACACCATGGGACCACGCATCCGTCATACCGCTCAGGAAGGAGACACGTTCTGTCTCCTAGAGATTAACGTACTTTGGTGCGAAAAGTGCAAATCAATCCCAGAACAACAGCAAAGGACCTTGTGAAGATGCTGGAGGAAACAGGTACAAAAGTATCTATATCCACAGTAAAACGAGTCCTATATCGACATAACCTGAAATGCCGCTCAGCAAGGAAGAAGCCACGGCTCCAAAACCGCCACAAAAAACCCAGACTACGGTTTGCAACTGCACATGGGGACAAAGATCGTACTTTTTGGAGAAATTTCCTCTGGTCTGATGAAACAAAAATAGAACTGTTTGGCCATAAGGACCATCGTTATATTTGGAGGAAAAAGGTGGGGCTTGCAAGCTGAAGAACACCATCCCAACCGTGAAGCACAGGGGTGGCAGCATCATGCTGTGGGGGTGCTTTGCTGCAGGAGGAACTGGTGCACTTCACAAAATAGATGGTATCATGAGGAAGGAAAATTATGTGGATATATTGAAGCAACATCTCAAGACATCAGTCAGGGAGTTAAAGCTTGGTCGCAAATTGGTCTTCCAAATGGACAATGACCCCAAGCATACTTCCAAAGTTGTGGTAAAATGGCTTAATGACAACAAAGTCAAGGTATTGGAGTGGCCATCACAAAGCCCTGACCTCAATCCTATAGAAAATTTGGGGGCAGAACTGAAAAAGCGTGTGCGAGCAAGGAGGCCAACAAACCTGACTCAGTTACACCAGCTCTGTCAGGAGGAATGGGCCAAAATTCACCCAACTTATTGTGGGAAGCTTGTGGAAGGCTACCCGACACGTTTGACCCAAGTTAAACAATGTAAAGGCAATATTACCAAAGACTAATTGAGTGTATGTAAACCTCTGACCCACTGGGAATGTGATGAAAGAAATAAAAGCTGAAATAAATCATTCTCTCTACTATTATTCTGACATTTCACATTCTTAAAATAAAGTGGTGATCCTAACTGACCTAAGACAGGGACATTTTACTAGGATTAAATGTCCGGAATTGTGAAAAACTGAGTTTCAATGTATTTGGCTAAGGCGTATGTAAACTTCCAACTTCAACTGTATGTTTTCTACACTGCAAGTATGAAGCTGTTTGTGAAACACGGAACATAAGTTAGAAAGCGTAGTCCTTCAGGGCCGAATCGTAACTTGTTCGTAACATTGCTGGACCTTACCTGATTGTGTGCTATAAATAAATCTGTAGCTTTCAAAGTCTCCTTTAGGCTCTTTCCATGACACATGCAACTGGGTTGCGCTCAGGACTTTGAAACGAAGTCTTCGTGGGGTGGCACCTAGACAAAAAAATCAACAAAACACCGTTTTTAACAATAACTGACTAACTCAAGAAGAGTTTGTAATATTGAATGCATGGTTAATATGACACCAAGACAGTGGTTGGGATTCAATCAAGCGTAAAAACCAATGTTCTTTGAAAAAACAGTCCCAATTCATTAACTAGTAGAGTGTGAAAGGTTTGGGGATTTTTTGCCAATCAAAATGCATGAAACTTGAGATTCCCCAGTTAAAAGTGATTATGAAACAGTTAGCAGCTAGATTGAACTCCAGCCAGAGTTTGGCGAGGTAACAGGCACTCCATCTGTGTTTCAACAGTCCTAAAAGATTGTATCTTGGCCAAATAAAAAAGATACAGATTCAAAGAGTGCCACAGATGTCACAAAAAAAGCAGTCACATTCTCTCCCTTTGCCATTGATAGCTCTCATATCTCTTTTGGAGGGGGGTCTTTTGTGCAGCACTTATCTCAGCATCAAAGTACCATCCCCGGTCTCATCATGATTGCATTTGGCTGGAGCAGTCGAATTGAGAGTGTATTACAAAGAGTGTGCTCTTTACTTTGAGGCCTTTTCAGAGGAGAATGTGACTTTTTTTCAATTGCAGCAGCGACAAAGGGAAAGGCACTGGAATAGCATCTATTCCTGTCTTCAAGAAGATATCTATCTGCAAGTAGAACTATATACCACTTCACCACTTCCTCTTGGGTCAACATCCCATCAGCTCCGCAAAGTAGTTAATACTAGGCATGACCAAATCCCAGAGAAAAAATATAAAATAAACATTCCCATCCAATTTTGTAATAATGGAAAGTGTTGCAAACAGTCCCACAAACTGGTCGTGTTTGTGTCCTCATTAGGAGCAGGAAACGATCTGGTGCCAATGTATTCTTTAAATACCTTCACTATGACTGACATAAATGAGAGCAAAGCTCTGCAGTTGAAACATACAGAATAATGATGTATGTATGGGAATATATTTGGAGACATTGATGTAGGTATGGAAAGAATACAACCAAGCACATAGAATGGAGTAACTCATCGGAAGGTAAAGAGCCCGGAGATGGTACATGGTGCAAACAGGCGAAAAATAATACTGTACTGAGCTCACCAACCTGAAAATGGGGGGTGGGTATTCAGCAGGGCTTAACTCTCTCTGAAAAAAAGATATTCTCTGAAGAATGTCATTTCCCGAGTGAGAGAATTAGCATGTGTGTTTGTGAGTGTTTTTTTTTTTTTTAAACCTTTAGAGACTTGATGCATCACCATGTACAGTGAGACAGGAAATTTCCAGAACTGACGTCTCAGACTAGTAGTACGCTTGGTAAACAACATCTCCAAGACAAAGGACTTGCCTGTGTGAAAATGGGCTTAAGTTCTCATATATTTTTCATAGCCGTCTTGTGCAAACAGCCAGCAGGCTGCGGAGGGTTTAAGAGGCCTCAAGTACCCATGGGAAGTTTGGAAGTCAGATACAGAAAGTTTAATGCATTTTAATTCATATGTAAGAATTAGTTATAAGAAGTGCCATATTGGGTGAGATGCTGACACTGTAGGGATGGGCATGTGGCCACATGCCATTGGGTGACAGTGACCTGTGTTCCCAGACATCCCTCCCTTGTCTATCGCCTCAAGGGCCGGATGCGTTCAGTTAAACCTCTTTAGCGCACTTTGAAGGAAACTTCTATTGAAGCCCACTGACAGTACACTTTGAACTCTGACCTGTAAAAAGGACAGGTTGTTTACTTTAAACAAGAGGGCGGTCCTTCAGAGCAGAATGCTTCTGCCGACACCCAATGGATGCTGTCCAAGGTGTAACGCTACAATACAACTCAAAGCGGCACTATGCTGTAGCCCAGGTTAGCACAGTGCAGAGTGCACGCTTAGCACAGGAATGCTTTGGTTCGTTTCACTTGAGGACTGGGCAACGGTGTCAAGACAAGCCCAGATAAACAAACTGCAGCTGTTTCAGGGTGCAGTTCTTGTTTGTCTTCACATCAACAAGGATAAGCCCAAAGGCAGATATTTTTTGCAACATTGGCTATATGGGGAAAGACCATAACGGTAGGTAGTTCATGTCAAAGCATATTCTCAAAACACTTGAGTCAACTGCAAATTGAATGTGAATGATGTGATTTTACACACAAAAATGAACTTATATTACCAGAAAATAGTGACTTTTCCCTTTGAAGTAAAATAATCACAAAGTGACAGTGACACAAAGACAAATGCTTCGACAAAAGCTGCACATCAAAAAGACACACACGGGACGACAGAGGATAAGAAGCAGCCTATATGATTGTGTTTACCTTGACCCTGAGCTGGTGCAGGTGAGAGAGAGATAAGAGCCAGACAGAGTAGATGACTCCATACCCACGTCATCAGTCCTGTAGCCGGCATCCTTCACACTGGTATAGGAGAGGCGCTCAGAAAACCTGACGAGACATCAAACGGAATGACAATGCCTGATGCTATTGAAAATAAATAGATAAGTTCCGTTATTAAAGGAAGTCTATAGGAACAGCTTGACTGGAAGTCGTGTAGACTTTCAGTCATTGCGCTGACGCTAGTTAGCATTGGCTTGCGAAACTACAGCTAACTTCCTTCCTACGGGATGCAGAGACATAAAAATGTAATCCACAAGTTCATCTGACTCTGGGGAAGTAGATAAAGAGATTAATTGCCAAAATCTCAAACGATCCCTTTAATGCAATTTCATAATAAGGCGTGGATTTGGAGAAGTATTTAGGGATGTAACGATTCACCGATATGTATAGATCCCGATTTAAGATACAAGTGCATCGGTCTGCGGACCCCAAACCGATCCAAATGAAGCATGTATCGGTAGGAAAATCGATTCAAATATGAAAATACCTCATCTTTTGTGACAACTGATGCATGCTCTCCTTCAGTGTGAAACTGCATGTAACTGTGTCTTGTAGTCATTGGTCTACAAGTCATTTTGTATGCGGAACAACCCCAGGCAATATCAGCAGCTTAGTCAAATTGCGCATTGTGCACATCAGAATTGAAACGCTAAAATGTCTTGCATGTGTGATATTAGGCTTTATTAGTTGAGTGACAACCTATGTAATTTGCTAGGTTATTGTTATCTATGCGCTGTTGAAAATGGTGTTTTACCGGAATTTCAACCAAAGAAATCTATGTAATGACGTTGTATCAACGTAAAAAAACTGATTTGCATTTGCAAAAAGTAATCAACGTAATGGCATTTTGTCTTTCTTTCACCCAACTTTTAACCATAATCCAATGACATGGTGATTATTATAATTTACAAAATTACATTGAATTCACGTTAGTTGAAAACTCAACCAAACTAGACATTGAACTGATGTCTGTGCCCAGTGGACACTCTCATCTGGCTATACCTGCTGAACGGGGCTTACTACAATATATTTTATTATAACTGTTCAGGTTTACCATCAGCAATAGTTATTGTAGTTTTGCTTTAAACAATCTGTGTATATGGTTATTTTTAGATATACAGGGTAAAGTTGATGATTTCATTATGAGGACAGTAATCACTGAGGCACACTGTATGGCCGAAGCAAGAGGAGAAGAGAAGATCCCTCCATAAAAACTTCCAAATGGTCAAAAACATTCCATTTTGAGATGGGGTGAAATCCAAAATTGTGCTATATATTCATTGGCTATGTCATAGCTAAAAAACAAAAAACATAGGCTACATTGCCCCCCTAATCTGATAGTGGTAGTGGGATGATAGATGCCTAGTCTCCCTTATTGCTCAGCTCAGGTGGCTACATACAGTAGTACATACAGTACACCATAGACATACATCATTTACACACACCACACTACACACACACACACACACACACACACAGAAGTCAGCTCAGACAGATCCAGCTCAGAGAGGCCCAGCTCATGAGCTCCATCAGCAGCAGATTTTAGTTTAGAATGAAAAATGAATGTGTTTATGCAACAAATGTTAGTGCATAAAATCGTATCACATCGAACCGAATCGCATCGATTTGTTCTCTAATCAAACCGAATTGCACGAATCGTTTCAAAATAAAACGTATCGTTCCTGTATCATATCGGAGCCCATGTATCTAGATACGTATCGAATCGTCCTGAAAGGGAAAGTTGTACATCCCTAGAAGTTATAGAGCAATTTTATGAATATCATTGATAACCTTCAAATAATTTTGGAAAGAATAAACTCATCAAAGCATCTAAACCATAATGACACCCAAAAATCATTCAAAGGATCTTTGCTCCTGCAGAGTACTGTGGCAGTAGTATTTTCTCAAACAAATGAAGGATGTAAAAAATAGATAAGCATGATGTCACACCTTTATCTCAAACTTATGCAAACACTTCAATAGGAATACTTCGTCATTAGGCTAGCTGGCATTTCAAAGCAGCACTTCAAATCGCCGTGCCTAATCAATTTACCTAAATAGCCTTCTAATCTTGCCATTATGACAAACTGAAGGTGTAAGAGTAGGCTAACCTACAGGTAAACCACAGTAGTAGTCCACTATCCTTGATGATGGTTCGTGTAGGCCTACAGACTTAGGTAAAAATGGAAAACGGCTGTACATTATTATTTTAATTATAAATATGATAAACAAACAGTATTGACGAAGTACAAAAACAGATATAGTAAATTGACCAAATCAAATTAGCATATATTGTCAAACGCGCCCCCACGTCCACTGTCGCATGAACGTGAGGTTCCACTTCCGACCACTTCTACTTTAAATGTGCTGTAATTAAACACTGACTTTATCCCAAACTAAAGAAAATATCTCATACCTTTTCAAAACATATGTTTACAGGTAATATTGCTCCCAAAGGACCCTTCCTCTGTGTCTTCCTTCGCCGGCTGTTGGCAAACTATCTTCAGCTCGCGCTCCTTCAGATTCAGACTTGCGAAGGTGGGTGTATCCCGTGCAGCTATTCATTCACCCATCCCTTGAGCGATTCATTCCTTCACCTCGTTTAATGTGTTTCGGCGGCAGCCAATATAAAAGAGGTGACAAGCTACGAAATATGAATTCTGTTCTGACCGCCCCCAGGGTAGGCTACCTGTTTTTACTCCTCGTTGGTTTGCTTGCTTTTTTTAAGGTATGTAATTTTCGCGCGCTTCTGGTCAGCACGAGCGCTACCTGCGCGCAATTCTTCACTGATGTGGCTGAAACATTAGAGGTAGCTTAATCTGGTAGCCATATGGTAATTTAGCATAGTCTATGTTATTATTATTATTATTATTATTATTATTATATTACACACACACACATAAGTGTTGTTATGTAGGCCAACAACAACAATATTTAACTGTCAACCTTTTACCTGCCTGGTTTCTGAGTAGCCTAGTCCTCTCAAGACCTGAATATGTCAACAATTTCAGGTTTCAAGGTTTCAATTTATAATACTATCTCCATCCTCATCTCTGCTCTATTATTTGTTTCCATTCCATCTATCTTGCCATCACTATCATCAGGTTGCAGCCAGTTGTTCTTGGCTCAATATGCAATGGGACATGTATGAAAGTGTCTATCAATCTTATGCTTATGCAACTAAAATATGTACCATCAGTCTATATTGTATTTGATCGGTTGGGTAAGAGATATAATAATTTCTGGAAAGTGACTTTGTAAATTCTTTTTTACTAACTACCTATATTGACCACATCAAATGTGTTAATGCCTTTCATAATAGGCCCCTATCTGTGTCAAGTTAAGAGGTCAGTGCAATCCGGTATCCTTGGGACGTCCCTACCCTAAACCCTAACCCTAACCTTAACCCCTCCTTAACAATAACCCTTACCTAGCCCTAACCTTAATCCTTACCTTACCTGTGGTCCTCCGTAGCTCAGCTGGTAGAGCACAGCACTTGTAACGCCAAGGTAGTGGGTTCGATCCCCGGGACCACCCATACACAAAAATGTATGCACGCATGACTGTAAGTCGCTTTGGATAAAAGCGTCTGCTAAATGGCATATTATTATTATTTATTAACCATTTTAAATGTCAACTTCAATGGGGTAGGGACATCCCAAGGATATCAGATAGCACGGACCCAAGTTAAGATACAGTACCATTAACTTTGATAATGTTGCACCAACCTTAATACAACCTAGCAACTGCTTCAAGAGGTCCTCTTGGACCTCTTGGAATAACGGATGTGTTACACTTACGGTCAGAGTGCCTATAAGGTTACCCCCGAATTTGCCACAGTGGTGTTATGAGTGGGATGGCACTCCGGTACAGCCTACATTTTTTTGAATGAATATCAAATGAAGTTGAATGTTTCACACAATAAATATTGTATTTTTTATTTAAATGGTTCCAAACACACAGGCTCTACTCTTGCTGTTGAAAAATATAGTTGTTTTGACTTATCTGAGTAACTTCTGGATAGCTGTTTTGATTAGACCATCTCACAGCAAACTAGTGCTCACTCATCAATGGACAGTTAACACGGCATTGACTAAAGGCTGACTGTGACTGAATACAGTGTGTTAGCATGGTTAGCCCATGGAAGTCTTAGAGGCTACAAGAGCCCCTCGGGCTACACACCTTTCCCAGTTGGCTCCGATGTCGAATGTGTTTCTACAAGCACAGAGGGGTAGTTAGGTACGCTGTGTTTTATGCATCGCCATGACAGCAAAGTCATGGTCATGACAGAGGTGATAAAGAATCATCTTTTTAAAATCAATTACCTATGGAATCCCTCTTCAGCTCTCTTTATTGGAGGCCCCTTATGGGTTTCACGTTCCTGCAGTTATAGAATTGACAGTAGTAACTGTAGTTACAGTAGGATATGGTTACACTCTATCACTTACTCTTGCTTCTGAATACCATGTGCATTTGTGGATTTATAATGCTGAGCTCATCACTAGATGGAGTTTAAATAGCTCACAATTTCTGCCCTTGACATAAGACCTGACCCATCTAAAGAGCATTCCATGCTACTGCACATAAACCCTTGACCCCTTAACCCCTCTGCTGCCCTCATCAGAGTTATTTTAACATACGTTTCCTACACTAACAGGCACGAATCTGGATATTTTAGTATCCCTCTATTAATCTGTAGTGATAGCAACCCTAATAATAATGCAGGAAAAATCTATATAATGCAGGGAAAAAGCTTGTGGTTTGTTATTGTAATATTATTGTGGCAAATGTGACATCAAACAAACATGACAAACAAAAAAACATCTCAAAGTACTGAAAAGGTCTTCACAGTAAAAAGCCTGTAAAAGAGATTTGGATATTCAGTCAATGAGATCCAATTGGGAAATATCAGTTGTATAGACGGTACATACTGCCACCTGGTGGTCAGAGCCATATCGTCTGCTTACGTTATTGAATGTTGTTCCTTATAGTTCATATGCCATCTACAGATATGATTGCACCATGCACACTCCTTGACCACTTAATCTTAATGTCAGTGTGATCCTGTTGATCTTGATCTTCAAGGTCATTTCAACTTTTATTGCAGTTTAAAGTTCATGTCATTGTTAAATAAATGCTCCTACTTTATTGCTATTAGATTGAAGCCGTTACAATTCTATCCATAATCTTGATGAAAATAAAAAATATTCCAGTGATGTTGCTAAAATAATTTGCTTAATTTGATGTGAGCCCTTATTTTAAAGATAATAAGATGTATTATTTGCAAGTGATGATCATTGCTTTAATATCATAAACATTGATACAAATACACATTTGCTAACATTTTAAATTGAGTTACTTTATTTCGTTAATTCATTGGCTAATTTAAATATTTTCACACTGATCAGACACTAACACAAATGTATATACTCTTTGCTGGCCTGCACCAATACCCTTTAAAGATCAGTTGACCATAGCAAATGTAGAGGGTCAGGCTATATGGCTATATAAAAGTACAAATCCTTTAGTGCTTTTGGTCCTTCATACCTTATGTTGGACCATGTGATCATGCATTACACTTGACATATTTTACAAAAAGCACAATATCACTGCTATAATCGCTCTGGATAAGAGCGTCTGCTAAATTACGTAAATGTAAATGTAATAATCTATCTATTTCTCTGTAAAGTGCTTTGACATAATTTGTTGTTTCAAAAATAAAAAAAGATTAACATGTTGATAGGCTACTACTGATTGATTATTTGAACTTTTATCAGTATTGTGGGCTTCCAAAAATATTGCAGTGGAATCAGAAACCAAGATGACATCCAAGCCTTTTTATGCTGCCACAAAGTATGTGGTCTGCAGTTTGCCAGTATTGTGCTATTTTCAGTCCAATATGAATACAAGGTTTAAGTTACTCCTGCTACCAAACTTTAGAATTCAATGCCAAACATATTCAAAGCAAAATGCAAAGCTAATTCATCAAAACAACTTCTATTCAAAAACACCTCTGCCACGTCACAAAGTGTGGTGTTGTTTACAATATGTGCCACCTCACTTAATCAACAACACCCTAAGTACTTGTCTTTCTAGGAAGGGACCCTCCATTGGAGCAAACGAGGGAGTGGATGGAAAAGCAAACAGCAGGCAAGGAGTAGGCGCACAGGTCAAAAGTCTAAACCGCTGGGAGAGAACAAAAACACAAGCTGTATCCATGTTAACCACGGAACACTGGTCAGAGTCTCAGACTGATGATGTAAGCACACATGGCTTCACAGTGAGGCTCATCAGGTTTCTGTGGGGTCACTGTTGCTGTGACCCGCATCTCAGGTCGATCATGTAGCTAAGTCCATTTGGCTCCATATCAAGGTCATAAGGTTTCTATGGATTTGTTTCGGCCAATACAGTCCACATTCTTACTCTAAGCTTTCCACCACCAAGAGCCAATGGGTTACTGAGGCCTTAAGTTGACTGTAACCGAATACAACACAACCTCATCCTCAGCAATCAGACTCCTCCATAACCTCCATGACCACAGTTCGCGATCCAGTGAGGATGAGGTTGCTGACCGTCTTGTAGTCCAGAGACAGGACATCCAGACCATTGACAGAGACCACAAACTGGCACACCTGGAAAACAGACTTTGGTCAAATACTGCACGTATTGAAGATAATTTATGAGAGCTGCATATGGCAGAGGAAGAAGTTTAACAAATGTATTGATTTGACAAAGCTATCAACCTGTAGGCACTGGAGCTGCTCTTTGCACTAAATGTCCCACAATGCCATGGTACTCACTTTCACTCCTACTGCTGCTGCAGGGCCACTGGGGTCCACTGCCTGGATGTGACATGGCCTACTCCCCCTGACCACGAAGCCCCAGCCCACTGCATCACCCACAATCTGGAGATAGATTGATCACATTACTTACAAAGTAATAGAATCATGAAAAAGGTTATGGATTTAATTGATATTTGGTTGTGTTTCATTATTTTAGCATGAATAAGAGATAATACTGTGGTAACGTACTGTAAACGTCCTCTTTATGTATGGACCTCCTGGTCTCTGGAGCTCCTCTGGACTCACTTGTCTCTTCAGCACTGTCAATGGAACAAACACACTGTTAGCAGATTCTCAGTGTAATCATGAACAGTGGTGTTTAAATTGAATCTGCATAGTAGAGAGGACGTGATACAGCTTTAGGTGAAGACCAGAGAGATTCTTACCTGATTTGGGGTTTGACAGCACAGGTGAGGTAGGGGTAAGCATGGGACCTCTGTTACAATACCCATTGTTGCCACTACTAAGACTGTTATCATGCCCCCCAGACACCATCTTTCTTTCCTTGGATGGAGTGACTGAGAGAAGGAAAATAAGAATATATAGAGATATCACACAGAGAGCATAGACATGTTTTATGATTGAGAGTGATTGACAAAGTGTACTGAGAGGAAAAAGCACTAATAACAAAAGAAAGCCACCATGTTATTCATTCCGCACACACACATACATACACTCCAGTTTCAGAACTGTTTACTGTGCTGTAGTTTACAATAGAACACATCAAACACACCCCATATACCCCACTGCCTCCCGTTTCATATCTGAGTGTTATGAAATAACTAAGTGTCTGCTGCTAATCAAATATAGCCACATAATGTGCTGTATGAACACTCCCTGACCTGATTCATATCACAGTAACACTTCCTGACAAGCTAATATTCATCTAGCAGCCTATCCTGGAAGCTATGGCTACTGCCCTAGCCATAGCTGGGGCGGCAGGTAGCTTAGTGGGTAAGAGCGTTGTGCCAGTAACTGAAAGGTCGCTGGTTCTAATCCCCGAGCTGACTAGGTGAAAAATCTGTCGATGTGCCCTTAAGCAAGGCACTTAACCCTAATTGCTCCTGTAAGTCGCTCTGGATAAGAGCGTCTGCTAAATGACTAAAATGTAAATAACAATCACCAGCATACTATTATGATGACATATAGAATAAAGGTAAAATTCACCCCCAGCCAAACTCAATGCAATAATGCTTTCATCTGTGTTGGGTATCTCTTCTAATTTGTAGTTGCATATAATTGGACTGATCTATAATTTTCCATCAATAAAATGGTTCTCAATCTCACAAAAACAATGAATAAACAATACTTAATAAGAGCCCAACTAGGGGTAAAAACAGATCCACAGTCACTTGTGATACCATTGTATTCACAGCACTCATAAAGGTGAACTCAACACCAATGTTTATGATTTAACAAGAGGCACAATATTACATTAGCCATAGCAAATAAACCCAAACAAGTTCAGTAAACCTAAAATCAACACTTTCCACATATTTGCCTCACGTAATAAAAGTAGCCCTTACCAGCTGTCCGAGGTCCCATCGTACAATTCACTTCAAAGGTTTGCCAGCCAAAGTGCCAAGTAACTTGGGAAGGTGCTGTCCACAATCCCTGATTATCTAGTCAGCTGTGGTGCTCCGGTGTAAATGTTAAATGTTAACCCCCAGAGAGAGTAAACAGTCTAGGCTGGCTGGGAGGGAGAGGGAGGGGTTGAGGGATGCCTTGTTGCCAGGCTATCCCAGGGTAGGAGATAAGAGCTGAGAAAGGCATATTGGGATCACTAATGCTCTAATGGAGGTAGGGAAAGAAACAGTGGAGTTTTCCACTGGTCACTGTGGTCAGGCAAGGTGGAGTGGAAGGACTGGACATTCTCTATTACATACAAGTGCAAACAAACAAACACACACACACACACATTCTCTGTCATGGTACATGGATGAGAGACGTGGCCAGTGGGAAGGTTCATCAACAACAACAACATCCATATCAACAATGACTACATCCACAATGACATATGGACAAACAAACTGCTGATAATGGCCTAATGATAATGGCATTCTGTGAGATAAATCAAGAACATTCCTAGCTGTTGACAGCATGAGGCATTTGCCTCTATCTACAAATACAATATTCAATGTATTTACCCAATTATATAACAGGCCTATATAATAGCATTGGTCATTTGGAAACAAAGAAGCTGCAGGAAATGTAAAAGTAGTAGCAAATAGAACATAATAGGATCAAACATATTAGTTTCTAGAAACAAAAGTGTCCATGTGTTTGCTGGGTGCCATTGTGGTCAATGAACCTGTTCAATACTTTTTAAAACCATATGCCAATGACAGTCATCCTGCCATATAGTTTACTATCAATGTCCTAGATTATGTCAACTATATCCAAGATAAAGTGTATTGTATCATTTCAATGACAAACCAAGATGATCATCAAACCAAGATGATCATTGACCACACACCAACACTGAGTGCATCATGATCAGTAGTATAACATTATGACCTCTATTCTGTGGCTCCTTTGCCTGGTTGCCCAGCCAGAGAGCAATATCCAATAGCAATGTCTCTCTCCTCTCACATTGCTAAAAAGTAGACATAATTCATAATGTATAGAGGTGAATCATGATCAATAGGCTGATAAAGTCTGATATGGATGACACACTGCCTGAGGTATTTAGAAAACATACAGCTCAATAACTTTACATACAGACGTAGGATGAGCATTCTTTTGTTGCTGAGAATCGTCCTGCACAGCAGGAAATGCAAACTTGTAGTGTATTCAAGGTTTAAAAACGCTTCTAAAGTTTGTAATTTCCACTTTAAAATGTCAGACTTGATTTGCCCTAACGAAAAATGTATCAACCCCTACAAAAAATGTCCATAAATTATAATCCACATAATAATTCACATTTCCTGTTGCTGCAGGATTATTTTCCTGCTGTAGCAAATTGGCTCAAATTAAGATCCTACATCTATTTCCCCATATGTCCCCAAATAAAAAAACAGAATGTTCCTGGATATTATACTACTATTACTAACAGTTAGGCTCTGCTCAAAGGTAGATGCCTCCGGATTTCAGAAAACGTACTGTGTGAGTGAGTGACTGTGCACAGACTCCGCTTATGTGATAATGCCCTAGAAGCTGGTGTTTCGAGGGTATATACACTACCAGTCATAAGTTTGGACACACCTACTCATTGAAGGGTTTTTCTTTATTTTTACTATTTTCTACATTGTAGAATAATAGTGAAGATATCAAAACTATGAAATAACACATATGGAATCATGTAGTAACAAAAAGGTGTGAAACAAATCAAAATATATTTTATATTTGAGATTCTTCAAATAGTCACCCTTTGCCTTGATGACAGCTTTGCACACTATTGGCATTCTCTCAACCAGCTTCATGAGGTAGTCACCTGGAATGCATTTCAAATAACAGGTGTGCCTTCTTAAAAGTTAATTTGTGGAATTTATTTCCTTCTTACAGTTTTTGCCTATTGCTTACACACTTTTTGCAGAATTTGGCTCATTATGTCAAAACTCAACACACAAGCCAATCAGACATAGCACTTGGAGATTAACAACTCACATATATGCCAAAATGAAACACTGCAATCAAAACTTAACACTCCTTTCTAAAAATGAAATTCTTGCAACAAAACCATACACACAAGCAACATTTGAATTACTCTTTCATATCACCAGCAACACACTGATGGGCTTTATATAAAACACTGCAGTCTTTGTGTTTCTATTTTTATTGTCATTTTATTGTCATTGTCTTCTGTAAAACTCAAAAGTAGAATTTCTGCATGTGGTTGCCGATCATATACTTTCCACCGCCACGCTGAAAATAATTCCTTGATTGCATTTAGAAAGGGGCTGTAAGGGGGCAGGTATAAAACTGTGAAATTATTATGGTTGTTGAACCAATCTCAGACCAGAGCAGCCCGGTGGAAACTAACATTATCCCAGATGATAACAAACCTGGGCTGCTGTGGTCTGTCCTGCACAACTGCATGTAGTGCATCTAGAAATGCAATGATCTGTCCTGTATTGTAGGGACCTAGAGTGGCATGATGATGCAGGACTCCTTGGACACTACAGTTTTTTCCAACTGCTTACACACGTTTTCAAAACTGTCTCCTTTTTTCAAAACTCTACACACAATTCCCAAAACTGCACACACAAAATGCAAAATGCCTCACATCTCCTTCAAAATGTAACACTGCATTCAAAATGCCATAAACACATGTCAGAATGAAGCATTTGCATCAAATGGCAAACACATCTTTCATAATAGTAAATTTTTGGATATACCATGTAAACACTGTTGTTCTAAATCTAAAGCTCTATGGTCTTTCATAGGCTTATATCTACATTTCAATACAATGTTCTACAGTGAAAGTAATCTGCTGAGAGGGGTAACAAGTACACTGTAAACACCAATGCAATGTAGAAACATAAAATATTTATTAGGCCAAACATTACTGTTGTATACAGTAGCACACAACAAAACCATAAACATATGTAAACCAAAAGTATATTCTTTAGAATACAGTAAAGAACACAACTGTGTGTGTGGGGTCCCGGGGGGCAGTCCAGGAATTGGTAGGGGGGTGGGCAGACACCCGTGCTAAGCTACGCTTCATCTCTTCTCCGGGTTGGGTCTGGCCACAATACTTTGTCCACATCACAAGATACGTTTTCTCTTGCCAAACATTGAGGGAAGTATCTCCTAGCATGGCATACCCAACCTTGGACAGAGGCAACCTCTATGTCCCCACATGCGTCCTCCATTGCCTGGAGAAGCGGCATGTGGGCATAGGGTTGGCGATCATACACTTTCCAGCGCCAGGCTGAGAATAATTCCTCTATGGGATTTAGATAAGGTGAATATGGGTGTAGGTACAAAACTACAAATTGTGGATGGGTGGCAAACCAGTTTTGGACCAGAACAGCCCGGTGAAAACTAACATTGTCCCATATAACCACGAATCTAGCAGGCTCCTAATCTGGATCAGGGACAAGCATTGTGTAAATTGCATCCAGAAAAGTGAGCATATGGCCGGTGTTGTACGGACCCAGTGTGGCATTGTGATGGAGGACCCCGTTTTGAGTGATGGCAGCACACATAGTTATATTACCCCCACGCTGTCCAGGGACATTGGTAATTGCCCTCTGTCATATTACATTTCTTCCGCGGCACCTGGTTTTGATGAGGTTGAAGCCAACTTCATCCACATAAATAAATTCATGGCGAATTACATGGGCATCCATCTCCAATACTCTCTGTAACAGACAAAAGGATATACAGATGAGTAAATATGGTATGTCTGAAGTACTGGAAGTAGTGTTGCATACATACCTCTACAAAGTCATGTCACAGATTCTTGACTCTGTCAGTGTTTCTCTCAGATGGCACCTTGTAAAGTTGTTTCATCGTCACTTGGTGCCGTTGGAGGATGCGTTGTATGGTTGACAGGCTTACAGCACTGATGTTGTTAAATATGGTGTCATTATTCAAGATATGCTCTCTTATCTCTCGAATCCTAATTGCATTGTTGGTCAAAACAATATTTATAATTGCAGTCTCTTGTACATCTGTAAACAAGCGTCCTCGTCCTCCATGATGTCTTTGCCTTTCCACTCTGTACAGAATTCAAACACAATATGTGTTCAGCATAGGAACTGTAAACAATGTACAAAAAAATTTAGTACAGCATGATAACCAACCTCATTCATTCAATGCAGTGCAGTAAATGGATGGCTTAGAGTTACAAAGGTTTATGCAATACTATGCAGTCATACGTATTTTACAATACATTACTCTAATGCTAAAATAGTCATTAGATAGTTGCATACCTGTTCTCATTTCTGAAGGTTCGAATTATGGACGCCACTGTAAATCGACTCAAGTTGGGCTGGACTCTCAGTCCAGCCTCTCTCATGGTCAAACAGTGGTTGATCACATGATCAACAAGTGTTGCCCTAATCTCATCAGAGATGGCTCTCTCTTCCAACTCTTCCAACTCTTCATCTTTGAATTTGTCCTCGTTGTTGTCCCCTGCCTCTCCCTCCTACTCCTCTTGCTCTCTGTCCATTGTTGGCATCCATTGTTCAAAACAGGTAATCTGACCTTTGACCTATTTATAGGCCTATACTACAGTAAAGCAATGATTGGTTAGTGATCAGTTAAGCAATTAGTGTTTGCACATGTGAGGAGTGTGTGTGTGACCTGGTGAATAAGTGTAGCATTTTGATTGGTTGTGTTTGGAAAAGGAAAGCAAGTCACTTCTTGTTAGATTTTTGTGTTTTAGGTAGAGAATTGTGTGTAGTGTTTTGAAAAAAGTGTTTTATGCAATTGACAACTGAGTCAAAGGCTGAGAAATAGCTTATGGTTTTGGAGATTTGGTGTGTAGTTTTGCACTTTGAGTGAGAGGTTCAAAATCGTGTGACATGAAAAGATTTTGTGTGTAAGCAGTTGGAAAAAACTGTAATTGCAGCACACAAGGTGATATTTCCCCCACGCTGCCCAGGGACATTTACAACAGCCCTTTGTCCAACTACGTTACGGCCCGACGCCTGGTTTTGGCCAGATTGAAGCCTGCCTCATCCACGTAGATGAACTCA